CGGTATATGAGGTTTCAGCACTTGGGCGGCTACCACCCATCTCATCCCAGAAGGAGTGCACCTAGTGGCCATAGAGAACGTCGAGTAAGACATGAAAAGCAGAAAGATCGCGTGAGAAGCAATGACCAAGAAATCCGAATACAACATGACATGAGGGAAGATCGGTCGGAGAGAACTGAACGACGGGACGACAGAGGACGAGGTGGCAGGCAAGAATACCGAATTGAAAGTGAGCGAGATATTGGAATGGAAGGCGACGAAGGGGATAAGCAAGGTCTGGCAAGGTGAGCATACCAAATGTGTTCTATACCTTCGTTGGACAAACCCATCGAAAGCTATTTCTTAACCCATTCGCGACCGCGCGGGATGAGTCTTCCCGTTCGGACCAGCGCCTGCAGAGGCGATTGCGCAATAAAAGCCTTCGGGGGCTGCCATTGTCCCATGGGACATCCATCTTTTTTTGGTTTTTCTATATATTTTCTGTAGTTCACGCTGAAACTTCTCCCATGGGGGTTATCAAGGGTCCTGATCACGAATATGAGATCCATTTTTGGCGCTGGCGCCAAATTGGCGCCATTTGGCGCCAGATGGCGCCCTGACTGAATTTCGTCAAATTCGCTGTAAACTTGTATATAGGGGTTATTTGAGGCCCTGATTACGAATATGAGATTCATTTTTGGCGCTGGCGCCAAATTGGCGCCGTTTGGCGCCATTGGCGCCTCTATGGCGCGACAACTTTTTCCGCCAGATTACGGTGAAAATCTGAAAGCATAGTTACTGATGGTCTTTATAATGAACATATATCTATTATTGGCGCTGGCGCTATTTGGAGCAAATTTGGAAGCTCCAACCTAAATGCAAAAATTTTGTCATCACGAGGGATTGAACCTTGGACCATTTCCTCACCTTTTTTGGCCTTCGCGGGGCCGCTCAGCGAAAATGGACCTCGGTTTCGTAGTCTACGCATGAGCTCCATAACATACAGAAAACCGTTTCGAAAAAGCTTTCCACATCCTGAACGACCTCCCTTGTTAGTCCTGATTGGATCCAATAGTGAGAGGGTGCAGGACGAGCAGGAAACAGGCAATGGCACCAATTTGGCGCCAGCGCCAAAAATGGATATCATATTTGAGATCAGGACCCTCGAAAACCCCCATGGGAAAAGTTTCAGCGGAAAAAAATTTCAACTTTTTCGGTGAAATTTTGAAGTCAGGATATTTTTTCTTCAATAAAATTCTAGTGGATAGAGATTTCCTCTGCCCAGGGGTGGCCTAGATAGATGAGGGTATGAAGATTCTTCACAGCAAAGAAAATCTCCCAAAGACCTCCTTTTGTTTTCAAAAATTCCATTTAAAGCCCGTCAGCCACCGGTGGCTGCCATGGTCCGAAGTGAGCATCTTCGTGGGAGCACCGGGTGGCTACCATTGTCCCGAATAGGTTAACTAATTCGATTCCAGTTCAGTTTCGGCTTACCTGGTGATCTTCTTGTTGTAAGGGAACTAGGATTTTGCCGATGATGCAAGGAATAGTAACTGGGCATCTTGTTGTCGACATTCACTTTCATTTGATTAAAAGTGCAGGGATCAAGATTTCAGAATAGTGGAATAAGTCAAACCTGGTAGCATGATGTGGATCACCCACTTTCACATAATTATCAGCGCCTCGCGTAACTTTGCTCTCGGATATGAAATTACATACCAGGGAAGGTCATCAGGTCGGTCCGGCCATCACCAGTGAGCTGTATACCGTTGCACTCGCCTTCGAGACGCTGAGCTCAAAACTGCCTTCACTATCTGCTAAACGGTTCTTTGAACGGAATTATTAAGCAAAAAAGCGCAGCGGTAGTGCTAGTGGTGGAAACGGTTTGAAGAGCTCACTTTTTTGTTTTTAAATGTCAATGTGGCAGGAAACTTCTTAATTCGTTACTTTATCAACACTTGCCATTCGTTGCCTGTATGAAGAGTTTGCGAGCAGTTCCCACAACCTCTTGCCTGCGAGACAGGGCACTACCGCTGCGCTTCCTTGCTTTTTAACACGTTGACGACCGTGTGGTATGATGTCATACCACACTCTTTCGGCCACGTGGGACCGTGTGACATGATGTCATGTCACAGTCTTTTTTAAGCTGGTTTTCAAACATTTTAGGTAACTTATTTACGTGATGTATGCGCCATACTTAGGCATTGTTACAAAAGGCGTGGTCCCTGGAAAGAAGCTTCGGTTGATGGGCTATCGAGTTTTTCTAAAAATTGAATAATGATCAAATCACAGGAATCGCTAAAATGGCCAAAATCGCATAATCGGAGACCTACCACACAAGAAAGATAACAAATACACACTTCCTGAGAAAAAGGAGTTCTCGTGGGACCGTTTGACATGATGCCATGTCACACTCGCGCGGTCAAAATAATGCGCGCGGTCCCACACGCCAGACAGCGAAAAATGGCGCGGTCGTCAACGTGTTAATTTATTCGAAAATGTTTAGCAGATAGGGAGACAGTTTTGAGCTCAGTGTCTCGAGGCGAGTGCAAAGGTATAGAGCTTAACAAATAGTCGGACCAGCCTGATGACCTTTCCTCGTTAGTGAGGAGAGAAGGGTCTCATATTTTGTTTCTACTACAACTGCATAATTTTTTAGTATGCGTAAACTTAGTGCTGTACTGGAGGAGGAGATAGAAGCCGCGTTATGCAGGATTCGCGAAAACTCGGCCGCTTCGTATAGCATACATTATACGAAGTTATACGAGCTTCCTGAGAAAGCCGACATTTATAATGCAGGTGATTTGGTTGTCGTTTCCTGCTCTGTGATGAAATGTTGGAGATATGAAAATGCAGAGTGTATGTTTCTCCTTATTCTTCGTGATGTTTTAGAGAAGACGTACATCCGTCGGGCCATCATTGATGGAAAATAACACGAGATGCCGAACACTACCTCGATATTCAGTATCGATTGTTCCGCGAAGATCTGATCAGTCCACTCCGTGATGGCATAGCAGTGTATATTCAAAACGGTGAGGGCATTCTTACATCGAGAAATTGTGAAATCTCGGTCCTCGGGTGTTCCAAGGGCAGGTGGCGCGACTGTAAATTGGGTGTTGAAAAAGGGACATGCGCATACTATAAGGGAAGCCTGGGCCCCAAGGGACCGAGAGGTGACGCTTTTTCCGTCGCAAAGCGACGTGAATAAGCGTTCAGTCCGTTCCTCTACGATGCTTCATCACATTTACCCTCCGATTGACAACGAGCTTCTGTTGTCGGATTCTAGCCTCTCATAAGAGGAACAGCAAAGTGCACATGTTGATCACATCAGCACTGATGAGACTCGTCCAACGCGGCTCGACGAGGAAATCAGGGGTCTGAACCGTAGTGTTTCATGGATAAGGGTAACTCTTTGATCCGTTGGTATTACTCAGTTATTTTGTGTTGAGCTGCGCTCTCACTTTCCATTTGCAATTGCAAACGCAATCGAGTACAGTGAAGGCCAGTATACTGTAACTTGTGAAGGAAGGTGGTGGTGTTTGAGTTAGTGTTTTAATCCTACCCGTGCAGGTTTATTCTATGTTACACAGACTACGGGGTGGTAGGTTCAGTAGGCCTCACATGGTTTGCGTGATCTTCACACAATCTTTGATGGACTTGTGATAAGCTATTGCCCCACTTGCTCCTCTCCTTATGCATAGATGTGCGTAACGCTGTAAACATTCGAGTTAATATTCAGGTAGTACTCGATTCCACAGGTGTACGGAGGATTCTGGGATGTTGACCTCTGATCTGCTAGTATTCGAAGTAGAGAAGGTTCTAGGATTGGAAGCTCATTCATTCGATGGTGTTCCTCTTCGATATACAAAGCTCACGGTTTGTATGGTACATTATACTTACTACCGCATTCCATGTGGTGATACGACAAAGGTTTCAGTCTCAGTCAATCTCAGACCCTGCATTGCCTCGACATTTAATGTTCGGTCAGATAGTGTGTCTGTCGTCAGACGGTTTCCGCGAAGAGTTGCATTTGGCCAAAATCGTGGAGCGTGATGATACGGTATGTGAATTTTTTGTTCTTCATATCAGAGTGCGGGAAAGAGAAACTGCGCAAAATCGTTGTATGACATTTTCGAAGATTTCATGAAATTCTAGTATAGTTTATTTGTGAATTTTCAAAATTCTGGTCGTCCTATCTTCATTTTTCACGCTCATCGGTTAGTTTTGCAGTGGAACACTCAGTAGCTGTTATGTCCTCGAGTTAGTCTTTTTTGACTTCCCGGGAAGGAGATTCGTTCTTGATGGTAGTGGCTATGCGCTTCGGTCTTGGGAGAATTTTTCATTTGAGGGATTTTTGCCAAAAGAAACTTTGAAGGAAATTAAAACATTTGCTGTAGGAGTGTGTGGAGTGTCGCAAGTAGATGCTGTCCATAGGAGAGAGGGAGAAGGGGTGGCAAGGATTATATTGCCTGAGATTTTTTCTTGACATCACATCCTCGGTTAAATAGTCGATTCGTGGATTGTAGTGCCCTCGAAATCCTGGACGGCTAACTGTTATTTACAATTTATTCTAATGATGCTCTCTGCATTAATTGATTGTTCCTGAAATTTGACCTACTCTAACATAGAATATTTTTAGGAGGAGAATGGTATTATCGGACTGTCATTGCTCTATGAAGACGGCACTATAAAGAAGAACTGTCCTTATCTTGTTGCTGAGCCTAACTGTTACTTGGAGGCTTACCAGCATGTACTATCCGTGTTAAAGGTAAGGGGAGCTGTCTTCATCGTTCTGCAGTTGCTTTCGTCTTTATTTCGTTCAAAGTGAAGCTACTTGTGCCGACATATGCTTTGGGTCATGTCAAACGTGGCAAATTTACATACATGATGGTAGATGAAGCACATACCAGAGGAGCTACAATAGGCCGATGTCAGACTTTGCGAATCGCGCGATTCGCTAGCGTCTGCGGTCGCGTCGCGGCCAGTGAATCACTCAATTGGCTGGTACCGCAACGCGACCGCGGACGCTAGCGAATCGCGCGATTCGCAAAGTCTGACATCGGCCATAGGTTACAGGTCGCATGATGCAACCGATGAATCCGCACGGTGGAGGATCGTTATCAGTGTGATACTTTACGTAAGCAGACATCACACACAGGCGTGTGTCTGTCGGTGTTTCCAGAGATCCTTATTGAACCCTCCCCACCCCTCCCCCTTCCTTGTTTCGTGGGCGAGCATTATATTAGTGTTTTCTCAAAATCGAGTGACTTCTAACTACCACTATTGAAGTTGTGGTCCCCGTTAACGAAGACACTTCAGCATTCCCAGATAGTGTGCTGAAGAGCCTTCTTTTATGGTGGACAGAACTTCGAATGAACAGATATTTTTCGTTTCTTTCGGCCAAGTGGAAGTCTTGAATATGGATTTTGATTAGATTCATGTCCAGAGTTAAGACCACTGAAACAAAGAGATAGCTACTTTGACTTTTTGAGAGTCGAAATTATATGAAGTACCTCCACAGAGCAGGAAACTGATTATCGATATGAGCAAGATTTTGAGATATGTTTCAGAGCTTCAGCAAGTGCCACCCACTTCCAATGGAACGCTACATAGTTCACGGCAAAGTCGACGTGCGGAAGCCGCTATACATGAGATTTGAAGAAAACGTCGAAGATTTAATCGATGATTCAGAATTGTTGGTAGGGAGATATCTATCCCAATAATAGCAGCAACTGTTTGCCTTGTTTCATAGTCTTCTTATGGCTAGTTCATCGGGAATGCTGTTCCACTTTTACCATCTGATATTTCAGAAGCACTACACTGATATAGAAAATCAAGACGAATCCAAGGGAACGTCTAAAGAAGCAGGTTCCAAAGTGAAGTGCAAGAAAACGCCTACTATCTATAGCGAGTGAGTGGTATATTTTGAGCCCTTTTTTGTCTTTTTGACTGAAAAAATGTTTCTAGATGAGCTTGCTTCCTCCACTTTTTTTGATTTAGGAGCGATAGTGAAGACGATTGGGAGACTCCCATAATGAAGCCGGTAGGACGAGTTGTTAATATAGAAGGTGAGATTCCCGCTGAGTTTGTGGTGTGTCCGTTTTCACATTTTTTTCGTAGGAGTATTTAAAAATTATTGTTCATTTGAATTTGTAAATTAGTTATCCAGTCTCCACAGGTGGCACATATATACTAGCAAGATTTTTGCGATTCGCTTCATTCATGGGCTGATTGTGAGGGAGGAATTAATGGCCTCTTTTTTTTCCAGGGCAGTCACACATTGTAGTTGATGGAGCCAGCTATGAGGTACGTGATTGATGTTACCTTATCTGTATCCTGGCAAATTATATGACTTTCTGATTGAAATTGTTTTTGTTGTTTACAGATAGATAAGATGCCTGACGATTTCAAACCAGAAAAACTTGACGAAAGTCAGCGACAAGCAGTGATCCATGCGCTTACCAACGAGCTAGCTATCATCCAGGGTCCTCCTGGGACAGGTGAGCTTCATAAATTACATAGTTCTAATTTTCTCTATCAGTTTCTAGCTTATTTACCAATAAACGCGGTACTAGATACTAGGTCAGGTTATAAAAAATCTACTGACGTGATCTCATTTAAAAAATCTTGGATGTTTCCCTCCTTTTTCAAATTTTGACATTATTCCGTTTGATGCTAGGCAAGACTTTCATCGGTGTGGAAATCGCACGTATAATTCTTCAAAATCGAATTCGGTGGGGCATTATTGAGCCGATTCTTGTGGTTGCCTACACAAATAATGCCATCGATGGCTTTGCAGAAAGGCTTCTGAAAGAGGTTCGTAAGGGTATGATGGTTCGTTTTTTCGCACATTTGAGCTGTGTGATAGAAAATTCCTTTCAAGATATATTCGGACATGGAAAAAGGAAATCTGCAACATGATGGACCTTTGGTGGTTCGTCTCGGTACAAAGTCGGAAAGCGATTATTTGAAGAGGTTTGTAGTGTTAGCTATACTGACAGCTGAATTTTGGTTTAGGAACTCATAGAGAAGGGTAAGAGAAACTCAGCGGCGGAACCTCATTGAATTACATAAGAGAAGCTTAGGATCGCAGTACCGAGGTCGATTGATGGTAACATTGATTGATGAAAAGGGTAGCTTAAGAAGTGGTTTACAAGCAGAAGCACGTTACAGTCTTACTAGGTCGAATGCTGCTGTATTCCGACCGCTTTACCCTTGCCAGAAGGGATAAGATGTTCGTGAAGTGTCACATGATTCCGCCGTGTATCCTTATGTTGGATCTATTTACGAGCCAGATGACTGTACCAGCTTGCTTTGCCTTGTGGTACTAGCGCTGTGTCGCTTCACCAGCTACAGACCATATGTTGCCATCTGAGGAGTGTGAGCGGACTTGTCGTGGTGGCTATCGCACTCGATGGAAGTCGCTTGGATAAGCTGTTTTGCATACTTTGCTGATTTACAGCTCACAGTTTATGCACGTGACTACTATTAAGTACAGCGGACCGCCACGTCAAATCTGTAGATACGCCTACTCAGACGACAAGATATGGACTATGGTTTTTGACTAGGTTAGGTTTTGGCGCTTGTTGAAAAGTGCTAGACCTAGGTTTTTCAAAAAAGAATCAAAATAACGGATGAGGGACACATTCGGTATATATTGTATCTAGAACTCGAACTCGATAACGTCTTGATACCCAGCCAATGCGTTCGTTTTACTCTCCATATTCCGCTGTCTTTAATCTCTATTCGATGAGAAGACTCAAACTTTCAAGCATTTGTTCAATTTCATTGACCATTGATCAATTCTTAGGGCACAACATCGATCTGTTTTTTTATAGATCAGGTATCATGCGAAATGAAGTAGTGTCAGCTTTTCCGGAGCTAATCACTGAAAAAGTCAGTGCAGAATTTAATGGTGCGATGAAAAATATGAGAGAAGCATGTAGTCGTCTAGCGGAAGCCAGCCTCATTATGCACATATTCAAGAGGTAAGACAACTTTTGCAATTGGTTCGAGCCCGAAAATTTTCGGGTGTTTTTCGAGTGATTTCTACAGGGTGCGCCAAAATTACTTGCTCAATGTTAGGGCGGTTGTTCCGTTGATACTTATAAACGATCAGCGAGCAATTGGTGGTCATCCTTTGGTTACCACGTCCTCTATCAGTGCTTCGAATCCCACTTCTCAGCGCCCACGTTTTTCGGAATGGTTCGACTTTATTTCCTCTGGGCCATAACCACTCATTTGAATGTGCTTGGTCCCAGCGCAAAAAGAATAGCTAAAATGTACTAGTGCGTGGCACAACTGCGGAGTTTGTCGTCAAATGATTAAAGCAACAGTCCCAGCAGGGTGGGCGTGGTCGGAAACGACTGCAATCCCCTCGGCCGATTCCGACCACGCCCACTTCAGCTCCCTCCCTAGCGGCTTTCCAAGAGTTTTTGTTCAGTCACACTTCTTACGTTCTTGACTAGGGGCTGAACAGCTCCGAAGTGGGAATCGGCCGAGGGGATTGCAGCCGTTTCCGACCACGCCCACCCTGCTGGGACTGTTGCTTAAAGGACTTTGGAGCTATGAAATGCAGCTGAGATTTGTGGTCACCACAAGCTACAACCTCCACGAAAAATGTTAATGTGGCGCGAGATATGGTGCGCCCAATACGACGAGGTCGCTGATAAACAAACATAGTCAAAAAGCTAGAAAAAAGCTATCCTCAAGCTGTCATATTGCTGAGAAAAAGGTATCACTTTGTACTAATAGCTGCCAAAATGCCTCACTCCATGCTTCCATCCATAAAGATAATCCGGTGCGAGAACTTCAAGATATTTTCCGAATGATTACGTCGGCGCGCCACCGAGAGATGGTCTTCTTCGGTGAAATGCCGTTCAGAGTGAACTTAATTTCCGATCGTCAAAATGATGGAGGCTTTGCCTAGGGACGGTGGAAGCTGACGATAGATGGAGAATTCGTGAATGTTACGGAAAGGCAACAAAATCATGGTTTGTTTGCGATTAGCCATGAAGTCGTGTCCCCACTTGTTTTTATCAAAGAGGATTCCAACTAAAGCAGAGGTCGACTGGAAGGTGTGCTGACTAACATCCCACTTTCCTGGACAGACCTCACAATGGATCCGGACCACTCGTGTTCCTGCAGGGTGTAGCACTAGTTGGTAGATCGAAGGTGACATCGCACGCGAGATCACCGCCGCCCTGGTCTCAACAGCGGCTCAGTTATGGTCAATCAGAACTAATTACTTCAAAAGAGTGGAGCATTTCGTGTTGAGCTTTTCAAAAAGCAAGGTCTGCTCGTAAAGCACCACCCAGCCGCAGCCCAGATCACGAATCAGCTCTACCTTTAGGAAGAAATTATTTTGGAGCAGGGTGAATAACGGTCGAGGATTTCCTCGACCATAGCTCTCTACCATGTGAGAGTAGTGCCGAGAGTGAACATCCGCGCGGAGAGCACAGACGGCACGGCATGGCGAGTGTGAATGTCCGCGCGAGAACGTGTCTGATCAGGCGAAAATCCTCGAGCGTGCCGTTGAGGAATTCTCAAGCAATATTCACCGTGGTTTGGAGCACTGACGCGCCACAGTGGACGACCTTCCCTCACAATTAAAGGCTGAAGCTCATTCTGAATGAGGCGCTTCGAGATGTGAAGCATGGTTTGGGAATGGCATTTCATTCTGAGACTTCTATGAGAAAACGAGCTCTCAATTTATTGTTCATTTCACAATGGCGGGACTTTGAGCAAGTAATTTTGGCGCACCCTGTACGATTGGTTTCGATGCGGCATTAATTTGGCTTTTTTCATGTTGCTGTTTTTATCAGGTCATGTTTAGGAATCTCGCCTGCTATAAAGTTTTAGCAAAGAACAATATCATACCTGAAAAATTTCGGAACGAATTTCTAGCATGGCAAGCAACACATTGTGATTCGTTAGGCAGAAAGCTTGACGTACGTGCCCAGTCTCTTCTGAGCCATTTTTGCGTTATTCGTTGTTCGAGTTGAACAATTGACAGCATATCTGCCATAATAATATCGATTGTAAGTTTGACAACTTGCAGAAGACGCATGGACTTTGGATTGTTGGCTTTGTGGAAAAGCTGTACACACAAAGGAAAATTGTGCGAAGCAAACTACCCGTAGGATGACGATGAAGACAGGGAGAGACAGAAGAAATAGCAAGAAGAGCCGAAGAGAAGAGAACAAGCGTGATTATTCAGTGAGTTTCATTTTGCAGTGTGGTCAATCTCCTGCTGCCTCTGAGTAGATTTGTTTCACGCCACCTTACATTCATGTTTAGGTCTTCGGAAGAGGACGGCAAGAGGACGGTAACGCTGACAGTCTCTTAGGAGTGGGCTAAATGTGGGTGTTTCTGTTATATGCTACATTCTTCCTGGTACGCCTTTCTCAATGGGCTGACAGCAAATCTGTGGTAGTGATGTTTCTTAGAATGAGTTTTTTTCAGCAGCAAGCTGTTGAAAGCGACGATGCATATGATGAGGTGTACCTTACCGAACAAAAATGGGATATTTCGAAGAGAGGTTCTGTTGAAAAAAATGTCATCCTTCTAGCGAATCGCACCAAAGGCTACTGCCAGAAATCAATGGGCAAAGCGAATGTAAGTGACCTGCTCCCTGATTTTTTTTTCGCTTCATTGATAAAGAAGTTTTTTCAATCACATTCCGCCATCGCAGATTGTTTTTTTTTTCAGATAGCAGTGGACAAGGTTTTAGTCAACGAGTGCTCTGAAGCTCAAGAACCAATCGTTCGGGTACTTTTTTATATGAGATTTAAACTCATTGCGGACCGATGTTATGTTCTTCTCTGGGCTTTTACGTCTGTTTCGTCAGTAACCCGTAATCTGTCGGAAATTAGTATAGTATTTGTTCACATCCTGTGTGCGAAAAATATATCGGCGACGAAACTTCAAAAAGTGGTTAATGAATCGAATGGCTTTACAGTGGGGTTGCGTGATGTGCTACGGGCACCACGCGGTACGCGATGAGTCAAAAAGTCTACGGCTTGCTTTGGCGAAATCTTTGATGTCTATTTCAGGTGAATCCAATGTCCTCAGAGGAAGCCGCCGATGTGAAATACGTTTTCTCGTTGCCGAAGCAACGTCGCTGGGAACTGTATATGTTGTGGATGCAAGCAGCTGGTTCGTTGTTACTGCAAATTCTTGTTCAATGTTTAGAATTCGGGCACCACTTGAGAAATGTGTTCTGTGCCTGTAATTTATAGTAATTCATTCTTGAAGTGAGCAGACACTGGCAACAAACTCGGTTGCTCGAGCCGTAGGGCAGTCAAAACTTCCCCTTTGTTTTTCGCTGTTATCTGCTCACTTCCGTAAGCTCGACAAAATTCTTCACTTGACAGCTCTATCTGAAGAGATCAACATTAGGAAATGGGGCTTGGCCTGAGTTCGTGAGAGAAGCTCAATAATCGAAAGCTGCTCGCCGCTTCTGTATACCCTTACCTCATACACCTGTACACCCATCTCAAGCCTAGACATACAACTTATTTAACACGTTGACGACAGCCCGTTGTGCGCGTATCTCGGCAACTTTTTGTTTATTATTTTCAAATAGACATTACTTCTTCAATAATTCCACCACTGTTAATTGGTGCACAGTTTTCCGGATAAGATTATGCATCCAGACAGTTTTGAAATATGAAACATGCCAAATAAACCGATCAAAACGAGCCTCATTCGCGCATGCGCGTCATGCTGTCGTCAATGTGTTAAATTTAAATTATTCTTCAAAAGTGAGCAAGGTTAGCTATATATGACAGTGGTGACGTGCGAGTTTGCGTATCTTTGCGAAGTAATGGCCGTATGTGGTTTTACTTACTCATTCAACCTGGTTCACCCTGTTCAGAGAGATCGCGCTCGTGAGCAGCTGCCTCGTCTCATGGAGGAGTTCCGAGTTGAATGTGAGGCAATGAAGAGAGCTCGAATTAAACGTCATGCGGAGGTGTTACGGCACTGTTTAGTAAGTATGAAAAGTTCCCTTTGTTTTGTAAATTTGATTTCGCTGTGCGAAAAACGCTATCATTGTTAAATGTGTGTTTTACTTCAAAGGTTGTTTTTGCGACAACTACCGGTGCGGCAAAAGAACGAGAGTTGCTGATGAGATTGCGCTGCCCGATCGTTTTCGCCGAAGAGGCCGCTTGGGTATGTCAAATGATACTCTCTGCAATTATGAAGTGTTAAGCTTTTGGAATTACTGCCATGAACATCTATTTTGATCGTATTTCGGCACTGTTGTACCTACTTGGCTCACAAATACTAACAGTTTTTCGCACTCAGCTTTGGGAAATAGAAATCCCAATTGAACTGTGACTGTAACTGTGACAAGGGAAATTAAAATTGAAGAAGCGTAGACAGACTAGATGCCCTCGACTTTTTTTTAGGTCCTCGAAGCTCACACTTTAGCATGCTTTTTACCAACTGTTCGAGCATGTTGTGCTCATAGGTGATCATCAGCAGCTGAGACCATCTCCTGGTGAGCGTTTTAGCTATGTACTATTTACACCGTTCTTTTGTGTTGAAGGTTTTCATCCACTGAGTAGGCTGAAAACGATGTTTATCCTAGATTTTTTTGGTGTGAATAGATTTTACCTATAGAGTAGGGAGAAACAGTTGCTTTTCGAGGTCTGAGATCCATAAAATGTGATGAGGCTGAAGTTGAAGCAAAGTTTGAATACATTCACTGTAGCGGAGAAGGAAAACAAGGGAAGAATAAACAGAATCCTATGCGATGTTGTAACAACCGGAAAATAATTTTTGGGCTGAATCGTTATGTAAGACGAACAGATTATTTCAGCTGTATATGAGTTGGCTCGTGAGTATAATATGGAGGTTTCGATGTTTGAACGGTTGGTGAGAAATGGACATCCTTACCGTACGCTCCAGGTGCAACATCGAATGAATACGGACATTACGAGCAATATCATCAGGCCATATTTCTATGCTGAGTAAGTCTTGTTCGTGCTTTTTCAAAAATTTTTGGACAAGAGAAGTACTAGTGAAGACGTAGGCCTACCTAAGAGTGCGGTCCGGCACACAATTCGCAGCGAATGATATGCTTCCGGCGATCTAGCATGGCCGTCCCCGTGCCGATCGCGCCGCATCATGCCCACCCTCTCGCCATCTGAGCCTCTAGTCGGTTAGCACGAGAGAGAGAAACTGAAGAGAACGTCAGGGGTTGAAGACGGCAGCACCAATGAGAGTCGCATAAATTCGAAGTCAACGGTGCGAAGTTAAAGGGGTCCCATTTTTCAATTTCTGGGCCTTCTCATGATGTTTTCCTTCATCCCTGCACCACTGACCACCCCTGCTATAATTTCTAATGAGCTGCCTTTTTATTTTGAACTTCGCTTTAAGGAAGTCTCGGCACGACCACTTCTCCCACTTCCACCATCGCTATCCCCGTCTGCAAATCGCAAATGCCACCCTCCCACCATCGCAAATGCACCAGAACCAGAAGTACGACTAAGCTATTCAATCTACTTTGACACAGCTCTCCCTCCCTGTTTCACTTGGCACAGCGGACCTTTGGCAATGTTTGGGGCAGTCAGTTTCACCCCTATCATGGCATGCTAAAGGCCGCAGTCGCGACGGCTGACAAGGGAAAGGATGGTAGGTCGAAGTGGCCGTATAAAATGAGATGTATACCACCTGATGCGTCTCTAGACGCTGATTCCAAATCTGCCTTCCAAATCTGCTAAACGGCTCTCCGAACGGAGTTATGAAGCGTAATAGCTCAGTGGTGATGGTCCGGGGTGGCAGGTAAAAGCTCGTAGGATCGGTTCCTTTGCAAGTTTGTTGCTTTGCTTTTGTCCGCAACACTTCTAGAGACAAAAGCAAAGCAACCAATTTGCAAAGGAACCGATCCTACGAGCTTTTACCTGCCCCCCGGACCATCACCACTGAGCTATTACGCTTCATAACTCCGTTCGGAGAGTCGTTTAGCAGATTTGGAAGGCAGATTTGGAATCAGCGTCTGGAGACGCATCAGGAGGTATACATTTCATTTTGAACGGCCACTTCGACCTACCATCCTTCCCTTGTGAGAGGTGGAGATGTTGAACACTTGGTGGGAGAGCATCGAGTGGCGGTCGGACTACTCCCTTCGCGCGTGAGGGATAGTGATAATATCGTCTCGACATCTTTACAGCAACATGTTCCACTCATACCCACTTCTCGGCCTTCGCAATCCCCTGCCTTCAAGATGGGGTAGTCTTGTCCCGAAAGGTTTGAGAAATTCGCTCAGATTGTTGACATGTTTGACGCACAATTATGACAATGAAAGATGGTTGTAAAATTAAGATAATCGTAGGAAAAGATATCCTTTTATTTGAATATAACCTTTCAGTGTTGCTGATGCCGCTTCGGTGTTGGAATATCCAGATGTGCCTGGTATGGATAAGAGATGTTTCTTCTGGATGCATGACGAACCAGAAACAACTCCCACTGATGCGTTGTCGAGGAGCAATACTCATGAAGTGAATGCGTTAATTTAAAGACACTGTCATTATCAGTATTTTGTAAAGTTTTTCCTATCCTTCTGATATTATCGCATTTTCAGGTGACAATGGTTGTTGCGTTAGTTTCATATCTACATAAGCAGGGAATAAAGCCGGAAAGAGGTTAGATGACTTTCTGTGCATTCACTTTCACAAAGCATCCACTGCGATAAAGAAGCAGTTTTTGCTCATTTTCCGATCAAAGTTTTTTTTTTCAGATAGCGATCATCACAACGTATTCCGCTCAACAGGCAGAAATGAGAGAAGCCATTATCACTCACTTTGGTCGAACAGCAAATGATCAGCCGTCGGTAGCCGTTGAAACTGTGGACAGTTTCCAAGGAAAGGTAGTTTTCCTGTTCTGAAATGATTAATCCTAGGTTCTGTAATTACACCTTCCTGTGCTTGACGAAATATCTCGAAAATGTCTCATTCAAATACGCCGAAACACAGTGGAGTCTTGCTGAACGTCCCATCTAGTTTGAGCGCTTCTGTGCCTTACCATTTTTTATTCGAATGCTCTTGCCAGAACTGGCGAAATGTGGAAAGATGCATCTCGAAGCTCATACCTGCGCGTTTAAAAGCTTCAGCTCTTTCCACGCTAAGAAAGCATTTCATCTTGTGATCGACTTATTCAAGTGGTTTTCGGGATGAAAGCACTAGCTGCGCAGCCTTTGTAGGCCCTATAGGCAATAGATTTTATTACGACCTCGGTTAAGTAGAAGGATAGGATTGAAAGCAAGAGACTGTCTTTTCTTGAAGTGAAAGCATTTCCTGGGTTGTTCTGCAGATTTTGTTCACTGTTTGGCTCAGAAGAGCGATATCGTGTTTATTTATTTATTTACTTTAACTCTTTTTTACTCCATAGATTTATCTTTTGCCTCTTTGGAGC